ACTCATCTTATAAAATATTCACACCTTCCTCTGTCTGTTAGGTTAACATTCCTGAGGTAGGGATTCGGGGAAACTGGTTAGCCGTAGGGGTGCCTCAGGGCATTATTCTTGGTCCCTTGCTCTTCCTCATATACATTAACAATTGCCCCAATGTATCTCATCTCATTTTGAACCTATCCTGTTTGCAGACAACACAACTTTTGTTGTCTGTCACTGAAATCTGACTTCTCTCAATAACACTGTCAATGAGGAGCTCTTAAAATGTCTACATGGATGACTGCCAATAAACTCACTCTTAATATTGACAAAACATTCTACATGGTGTTTGGGAACAGAGCTACAGTGTCTAGCTATATATAATGATTAATGATTCTCCCATTGAAAGACAAACTGAGGGGAAATTTCTTAGGTCTGCACCTGGACTGTTACTGGAAATGGGAAGTACAATGCCTGCACTTTAAAGGAGGGGGTTTCAGATATTGGCATGGAGGGATATGTTGTATATCTTGATATGTATATGCTTCTAAACTGTTGTGTTCTTGGTACCTCTGCAAAAACAGTGATTATGTATGAGTGAGGTGAAAGTGTTGAATGGTGATGAAAGTACGTATTTTCTTTTTGGGGATTTTCTTTCTTTTTAGGTCACCCTGCCTCGGTGGGAGATGGCCAGCTTGTTAAAAAAAAAAAAAAAATCCAGCATATAAGAAAAGGTCCCCCAAAGCAGTGGCTCCCCCCAAGATTTTTACACAAACCCTCAAGCAACACTTTTTAAAAATTATGCCAACTCACTAATCTATCCCTTCCTTAATGATATTTGTGCCGGGGATCTACTTCTTTTTATCTAAAAACCAATAAAAAACTTTTTGCAAAAAGTACTGCACGAATGATTACTAAAACCAGTGCTAGACACACACTCCCCACTCTTTCAAGGGGTTAAAATGCTCAATATACAGAGCATGCATCATAGTACTGTGTTTATATAATATAGGACAATCTTTTCCCTGTAAAAAACCCTCTAAAAAACGCCCCTTGATTGCTGTAAGAGAACTACGATGAAAACAAAGCACAAAAACCTCTTAATATTCTGATCCAACTCGCCTGTGAAAAAAAACTCAATTACAAAAAGGTCCTAAAATCGGGAATCTGCTAAAGCTCCAAGGCCCCCTTATCTCCCAAATGCTTCAAGCTATTTTAAAATGATTTCATTCTAAATAATGTAACCCAAACAAAATTGTAGTCAAAAAAATGAAATTCCTTATCACTTATGTCTTGTTCTTCTTCCCACCCTGCTTCAAATCCCATATAACGAAATTTGGTAACATGTTTTTTCCCTTTAGATTTGTATGGAAAATTTACGTAACATGCTGTAATTTACATCTTTTCAGCCCGGGCCATCATAAGAACACTTTGAACCTTTTTTTAAATAATATGTAAATGTTTTTTTAATTCCCTTTTGTCTTTGGCTACCTTTCTTTTTGAATGTATCATTGTATTTTCTACAAAAAAAGACTAACACATGCTATGTCTATTTCTTAAGTAGTTTTTTTAGCCTTTTAAAAAGGGTTAGTGGTTAAAAAAAAAAGTACAATGCCTCCCTTTTAAAGGAGGGGTTTTTGGGAAATTTTGGCTTTGCATTGAGTCCTCTAAAAAAGACAGGACTATGTATTATGATGGTGGGAAGTGGCTGACATGTTAAAACAAAAAAAAAAATGACTTTCTTTGTCCCTACTACTTTTCAGATCTACCCTGTATCTATGCTATCGTATACTCACGGGAATAAACATTATCTTTATATTGTTTGTTTTACTGGGTTATTTTGGGTTTAAAAATCTACTTAGTATGCTTTGTGGTGAACCACGTTAGTATCATGAAATTTAAATAAATTTGGTGTAAATAAGTCTTTTCTTGCCTTCCACCCCCTGCTGGTGGTGGGGAAGTGGTGGACAACAAAGTTTGGTTTTATTGTTTACTTGGTTAGGCATGCTTTTCATTCATTCATTGGTGTTTTTCCCGGTATTTTGGGCCCCGGGTCTTCTCAAGGGGGGCCTGGCGTTAGCATCGAGTGTCAGACCCACCATTACCTTTGGGGGTTAAATGGTTTTTTTGTGGCCCAGTTTTAAATGTGGAATAGATTATAGAAACAGTACCCAAAGACTTGTGACGAGGTCAAAAATATTTGGGAGGGGAAAAATTTAAAGGAATGAAAAATTTTGGGGTACTGTATGTTGGACACAGTCATCATTGCATCAACAGTAGTATGTTTGGACACAGTCATCATTGATATAAGTAGTTTTTTGGAACAGTATCAGTTGCATACTACAGTAGTTTTGGACACGTACAGTTTCATCTACGTAGTATGTTGGAACATTTTCATTCATACTACTAGTAGTTGGACACAGTTCAGTTGATATACAGTAGTAGTTGGACACAGTCACAGTTCCCCTACTACAGTAGTATGTTTTGGGCACAGTCACATTGCATACTACGTAGTATGTTGGACACAGTCATCAGTTGCTATACGAGTTTTTGGACACAGTCACGTTCAACTACGTAGTAGTTGGACACAGTCTCATTTGCATTACAGTATATGTTGGACACAGTCTCATTGCATCTACAGTAGTATGTGGGAAACAGTCATCGTTGCTCTCAGAAGTTGGAACAGTCTCAGTTGATATACAGTGTTTTTTGGACACAGTCATCAGTTGCTACTACAGTAGTATGTTGGACACGTCATCAGTTTCTACTACTGTAGTATGTTGGACACAGTCATCAGTTTCAGTAGTAATTGACATAGTTTAAAGTTAGTCCCCGGCAACTCCCTCCCAATCCATAAAAACAAAGCACCCATATGAAAAACAGTACAGAATGGGGCACTAACCCGAGGGCCAACAAAACGTTCTCATCAATCTAACCAGCCTGATAAGAAGGGGAAAAAAATTGTATTTTGAGAACAGATTTCCAACTTAAAAGGTGATATAAAAAAACCTGGGGAAAAACCCCATCAAAATTTTAGGAACAAAAAAGTATCACGAAATAGTGCAATGAACTAACAAAACCAGTAACCCAACCCCACCAAATGAAAAAAGCAAACGATCAAAGATTCTCTCCACCTAGGAAAATAAAACCTTGCCCCAAAGAAATCCAAGTCAAAAACCCCCCCCGTACACCTCATGGGAACTACCCGAAAACATGTTCCCAGTCCGACTAACCCAAAAAGTCTCCCTTATTACAACACCAAAAAAACAAGACAGGGGGAAATTTAAAAACCTTAACCCCTTTATTCAAAAAAAGCGTACAAGTGCGCACCCAAACATTGAACACTCTTTAAAAAATCCATTTAATCCTTACCTTCCCTTCAGTTTTAAAAAAGGGGGTACCCGACCCTAAAAGAGGAGACCAAAAAAGACTTGAATACTATAGGCCATTCCAAATTTCACCCCTTTTAAAAAATTTGAAAAAATTTTTTCTAAACAATCTATTCCTACTCATCTCCACAAAAATACTCAAAACCCCGTCAGTTTGGGGTTAGACCTAATAAAAATACGAGTGATGCTATTATAAATGCTAGAACAAATTCACTGCACTAGAGAAAAAAGAAGTCCCCCTGGGGGTCTTCTTGATTTACGTAAAGCTTTTGATTCAGTTGACCAGACTTCTCCACATAAAATTGGGGCATATTGGATAAAGGGCACTCCCTCAACACCCAAAGTCATACCTCAGCAACAGAAGCCGTATGTTTTCAAAATGGAGCAAAATCTTCCGCATAGCCAATTACGTTGGTGTCCCAAAAAATTCCTTGGCCCCCTTCTCTTTTCCCCTTTACATAAAAGACCTACCAAAAAGCATCACAACTACTAAACCCACACTATTTTCGATGACACTAGTAGTCTTCTCTCACCCCAGCCCGCCTGCTAGCCAATATGTGAATACCGAATTACAGAAAATTTTACCTATGAGGATAACAAACTTACTCTCAACATTGACAAAAACCACTTCATTCAGTTTTGGGAAAGGCTCAGATTTCCTCTTAACATAATGAAAAGGATCACCCATCCAAAGTCACAAGGGAAAATTTTAGGAAATCCGCCTTGTAATAACTCAAATTTCAAAAAATATACAACAAATTTCCAAAAAAATTCCAAAAAAACGTAGGAATACTACGAAGATAAGGACTATGTTCCCAGTCAGCCTCCTGGCCCCTTTTCACCAAATTTTTTTCCCCCATCTCCCTATGGAATTTGCGCATGGGGCTCAACAACAATAAACCATCCGACATTATTACCCAACAAAAGGGTGCAGTCAGAATGAACAAATTCCCCCTACAGGCAGCACACTCCACCAATTTCGAAACTCTAAACCTACTCACCATACAAAACACCAATTATTATTGTACCACCATACATAGAACACTTAACTCGAATAAACCCTCCCCCCCCAAATGTCTCCTTTCCAACCTCAACAGAACACAGTCCATAACACAAGGCACAGATCAATTTTTTGATGTTCCCGTGTCCTCCGCACAGAAAAAACTCAATGACATAAAAGCCCCAAAAATCTGAATTCATTCCCTGGAAAATAAAGAAACACTGTTGCTTAAAAAATTTAAAGTCTTTCTTAAAAATCACTTACTCACCCACAACTAAATAAATACTGAATAATTGTATCTCATAAATGTTTAACCTGTGACCCAATCAAACTTTGTTATTTTTAATTACATTACCTAACAGAATACTCCATTCTACTGAATGCACACCAACACAGTAAATGACCATGTGACCTGTCTTTGAAATACTCATTTGTGCTTAATTGTTATCTGTTTACAACAATGTTTACCACTGAATATATCATTGCTTAGTTAATCTTAAGTTAATTTTAAGCCTGCCCATAATGCTCTGCATACTTTTGGCATGTTACACTTAACCACTGTATTTCTTTGTACTTCTATGTATCATGTTCAAATTAATAAATAAATAAATAATTAAATAAATTATTTCTTCCAGGGCACGTGATCTAGTGGCTAAGGATCTAAATGGCTACAGTGATCCATACTGTGTGGTGAAAGTTAGTGGAGAAGTTAAATATAGGACAAGAGTCAAAAAGAAGACATTGAACCCAGAGTGGGAAGAAACTCTCATGACTCATTTGCCTAAGCATCCAGATGCTTTGGCCATTGTGAGTACAGTATACATACACTACAGTACTGCCTGAATATTTTTATTCTCTGTGGGTACAGTATTTCCCATCTGTGTATAAAATATGCAATTAATATTATAAGTATCTTTAACATACAGCATACATGTTTACAATCTTCTTCTTTCAACAAACCAGCCGTATCCCACCAAGGCAGGGTGGCCCAAAAAGAAAAACAAAAGTTTCTCTTTTCAAATTTAGTAATTTATACAGGAGAAGGGGTTACTAGCCCCTTGCTCCCGGCATTTTAGTCGCCTCTTACGACACACATGGCTTACGGAGGAAGAATTCTGTTCCACTTCCACATGGAGATAAGAGGAAATAGACAAGAACAAGAACTAGAAAGAAAATAGAAGAAAATCCAGAGGGGTATGTATATATATACTTGTACATGTACATGTACATTTTCATATAGTCAGACTTGAGTCCTGGAAATGGGAAGTACAATGCCTGTGCTTTAACCCTTTGACTGTTTCCGACGTATAAATACGTCTTACGAGCCAATGTTTCTGACGTATTTATACGCATAAATTCTAGCAGCTTCAAATCAAGCAGGAGAAAGCTGGTAGGCCCACATGTGAGAGAATGGGTCTCCATGGTCAGTGTGCACCATATAAAAAAAATCGGGGAGCCAGTGGTGCATTGTGGGAATGCCATTTCAGTTGTCCTTTTTCAGCATGTCTAGTGGTAAGAAATATGTGATTCCCCAGCAAATCTGGGACTCTTCTCTTCCCAAGTGATGCTCTAACACAGATGGAAGTGTCAGTGAAGATCAATTTCATGATTTGGAGGAGTTTGAGACCAAAAGCAATGGAGGAGGAGGAGGGGAGGAAGAGGAGGAGGAGGAGGAGGAGGAGGAGGAGGGAAGGAAGAGGAGGAGGAGGAGGAGGAGGAGGAGGAGAAGAGGAGGAGGAGGAGGAGGAAGAAGAAGATGTAATAATATTGTTCCCTTGAAGCAAAAAAAAAAAGTCCACCCCATGACAGTGACAAGACAAGGGAGATAACATCTGATAAGAGCTGACTTTGATGAGCGTAAAGGAGGGTAATATTACATGACCATCGCCCTCCCTTTGTTTTTGCTGGTACACAAACATTTCTGTCTGTCTATTTGTCTGTCTGTCAAGCTCCCTGTCTGTCCATCTAGCTCTCTGTCTCAGAGAGAGCCACAAGACTGTGTCATCACGTTTACTCACATCTTCAAGCAGAGTATAGCACTTTGTCTGGATTTCTTGGGTTATCCTAGGTAATTTACACTATGTATACTTGTATTTATGTGTACCTGTGAGACAGAGATAGGCAGACAGATAGAAAGAGAGACAGATTGAAAGATATAGAATGAGGGAGAAAGATAATTAGATAGAATGGAGGAGGGGAAGCAGCATCTGACCCCATTGTTTTGACAGGCAGTAGGGGGAGTGACTAATGAGACAATATGTCACTTTGACAGCTGCGACTTCTGACTCAAAACAATTATAAGCCACACACTCGCACACAAGACAAGGAGGAGGAGAAGGAGGAGGAGGAGAAGGAGGAGGAGAAGGAGGAGGAGAAGGAGAAGAAGGAGAAGAAGGAGGAGGAGAAGGAGAAGAAGAGGAGGAGAAGGAGAAGAAGGAGAAGAAGGAGGAGGAGAAGAGAGAAGGAGAAGAAGAGAGGAGAAGGAAGAAGAAGGAGAAGAAGGAAAGAGGAGAAGATGAAGGAGAAGGAGGAGGAGAGAGGAGAGGAGAGGGAAGATGGAGAAGGAGGAGAAGAGGAAAGAGAGGAGAAAGAAGGAGATGGAGGATGAGAAGAGGAAAGAAGAGAAGGGTCTGGATGAAAGAGAGGAGAAGGAGGAGAGAAGAAGGAGAAGGAGGAGAGAAGAAGGAGAAGGAGGAGGAGAAGAAGGAGAAGGAGGAGGAGAAGGAGGAGAGAAGAAGAGGAGAAGGAGGAGGAGAAGGAGAGGAGAAGAGGAGGAGAAGAAGGAGGGAAGATGAGGAGAAGGAGGAGGAGAAGAAAGAGAAGGAAGGAGAAGAAGGAGGAGAAGGAGGAGAGAGAGGAGGAGAAGGAGGAGGAGAAGAAGGAGGAGAAGGAGGAGGAGAAGAAGGAGGAGAAGAAGGAGGAGAGAGGAGGAGAAGAAGGAGGAGAAGGAGGAGGAGAAGAAGGAGGAGAAGGAGAGGAGAAGAAGAGAGAGGAGAAGGAGGAGGAGAGAAGGAGGAGGAGAAGAAGGAGGAAGGAGGAGGAGAAGAAGGAGGAGGAGAAGAAGGAGGAGGAGAAGAAGGAGGAGGAGAAGAAGGAGGAGGAGAGAAGGAGGAGGAGAAGAAGGGAGGAGGAGAAGAGGAGGGAGGAGAAGAAGGAGGAGGAGAAGAAGGAGGAGGGAGAAGAAGGAGGAGGAGGAAGAAGGAGGAGGAGAAGAAGGAGGAGGAGAAGAAGGAGGAGAAGGAGGAGGAGGAAGAAGGAGGAGAGAGAGAAGGAGGAGGAGGAAGAAGAAGAGGAGGAGAAGAAGGAGGAGGAGAAGAAGGAGGAGGAGAAGAAGGAGGAGGAGAGAAGGAGGAGGAGAAGAAGGAGGGAGGAAGAAGGAGGGGGAAAAGAGAGAAGGAGGAGGAGAGAAGGAGGAGGAGAAGAAGAGGAGGGAGAAGAAGGAGGAGGAGAAGAAGGAGAGGAGGGAAGAGGAGGAGGAGAAGGAGGAGGAGAGAAGGAGAAGGAGGAGGAGAAGGAGGAGGGGAGAAGGAGGAGGGAGGAAGGAGGAGGAGGAGGGAGGAGAAGAAGAGAAGAAGAGGAGAAGAAGAAGAAGAATGAGGAGGAGGAGGAGAAGAGAAGGAGGAGGAGAAGGAAGGAGGAGGAGAAGGAGAGGAGGAGAAGGAGGAGGGAGAGGAGGAGGAGAAGGAGGAGGAGGAGGAGAAGGAGGAGGAGGAGAGAAGGAGGAGGAGGAGAAGGAGGAGGAGGAGAAGGAGGAGGAGAAGGAGAAGAAGAGGAGGAGGAGAAGAAGAGGAGGAGAAGGGAGGAGCGGAGGAGAAGGAGGAGGGGGGATGATTGTTTGTTTGTTTTTGTAAACAAGTGTTATTGATAATTATGTGTGTGTGCTTATTGTGGTTGTATACAACGAGTGTATATTATATTACATTTGCACCTTACTTTGAGTCTCATAGGCCACTAAGTTATGTGAAAAATAAAATAGTGAAAAAACAAAAAACCTCCAATTACAAGTAAGCTAAAGTTTACCGGGTGAGCGGCAGTCGCCGCTGTTGCCATACGCGGCTCATTTTCTGCAAACTTCACGGCTCTATATCTCCGTAAGTACCGATGGCAAAAATTTTTTTTTTGGACTAAAACACTCAGAAAAATAATCTTAACATTTTCATAAGAAAAAATAATTTTTTTTTTTTTTGAATATTTGGTGACAGAATGACAGTTTCAGAGAGGGGCCTGAAACAGTCAAAGGGTTAAAGGAGGGGTTTGGGATATTGGTAGTTTGGAGGGATATGTTGTGTATCTTTATATGTGTATGCTTCTAAACTGTTGTATTGTGAGCACCTCTGCAAAAACAGTGATAATATGTGAGTGTGGTGAAAGTGTTGAATGATGATGAAAGTATTTTCTTTTTGGGGATTTTCTTTCTTTTTTGGGTCACCCTGCCTCGGTGGGAGACGGCCAACTTGTTGAAAAAAAAAAAAAAAGTATGTGCAGTGTGACCTAAGTGTAAGTAGAAGTAGCAAGACGTACCAGAAATCTTGCATGTTTATGAAACAGAAAAAAAGGACACCAGCAATCCTGCCACCATGTAATACAATTACAGGCTTTCGTTTTAGACTCACTTGGCAGGACAGTAGTACCTCCCTGGGCGGTTGCTGTCTACCAACCTACTACCTAGATGTTTACAATCATCTTTGATAAATTAGACACATGTGCAACTCTTGGGTATCTTTATTGAGGAAACGTTTCACCACACAGTGGCTTCATCAGTCCTTACAAAGGAAAAGCGTATGGACTGATGAAGCCACTGTGTGGCAAAACGTTTCTTCAATAAAGATACCCAAGATTGCATATGTGTCTAATTTATCAACGTGTCGGTTCTCTGAACCATTCATCTACAACACAATCATCTTTGTTTCATTTGCACTAATTCTTGCTGAGGCATATTCAGATTGTAGGAGACTGAATAATAAAAATAATGAATTTCTTATTCAGATAAAGTGAAATGAGAGATTTTTTCAATTGAGTTGTGGAGATTTCTCTTATTCAGATTTCTAAATAGAAGAAAAAAATAATTAATTCCAGTTATAGGAATACATTTTCTTTAATGTAAATTTTATTAATTTAATTTTCTGCTGAAGTGCCCTAGGAACATCTGGAATATGCCATGCCTCTTTAATTAACACCTCGCCAGGTCACCATCTGGAAAAGGCCCAGGCCAGGACAAGACCAGCGAACCTACAGCAACAATCTTTAACGCCTATTCTTATCTCTCAGACCCCAGCAGGGTTCATCACAACACTTAAGCTCACCAGTTCTCTCAAAGATTGTTTGCTACTGTAGCTGTGACTGATATCACCTGGAAGCCTGGCAGAATATTATATTCCAGTGATCAGTCATATTTACTTGTCATCGCTGTTCTCTCTTCTTGATGGGCCTATTTTTTTCTGGTGGTTCCTCATTGGTTCAGTGCCAGGCTGGCTTTTGAGATCATCATTAGGATCTGATAGAGATCCTTTGTAGTTCTCCAAGATACCTAATGGTAATGCATGCTGTTTGAGTATAGCTTACTGGAAATGTGACCTGGACCAGCCTTTTGAAGCATTTGGTTCGGAGGAACAAGAACCTTAAAGATGAAGAGGGCTTGTGTGTAGCCAAAATCCTGGACAGCTGCTGACCATGCGAGAATCAGCTCATTCTTGGTGGGGTTTCAGTGCATCCACCCTATCTAGTAATGTGTATTCCCTGTTGGGGATGGGGACTGCACCAATTAGACATCTGGTTTCTATGCTTTCTCTTCTCTACTGCAGGGCCTT